AATCAGTTAAATGACAAAAAATTAGGTGTCTATTTACTTGTGACCACTCAGTGTAGCTAAAAGATATAAAATAGATATCATTTAAAGCTGATAATAACTTAAAGTTTAAATTTTACTTGTATATAACTTGTAGAATTATTGATTTCATAAAATTCCATTAATGGTTTTTAACCAATTTTGAAAAATATTACTTTAGCCAATAACTTAAAAGAAAAATCTATCATGTTTAACTCATATAATTTGTAGAAATACATAGGTGAAAGAGTAAAAAAAATATATATATATATACACATATATAAATAAAGTAAAAGTTAAACAGTTGTAACACAAAAGCATTGGAAAATATCCTTAATATTATTATGCACTTTATAAGAATGCTAACACCATGTACCTGAAATGAAGTTATTATGCACATTTAAGGTCAGAACTTGCACCTCAATAATAGGATTTTTTTTTGTACTGGACTGTATCAAGTTTTGTTAGGCCTTGTTTTCATTAGGTCATATCAGTCTAAGTACTATTTGAATGGATAAAGAAAATAACTGATAATAAATGTAAAAATAAATATATAAATGAATATAAAATTATCTTAAAACGTATTATGTATATTAAATGAAACCTTCTGATTAACAAGGTGGTTTGTCTATAATTTGGGTGAAAAGTCATTTTTATTATATGCTACTTATCTTTAGCACAATGAAATTGCATGCCTTGTTTTTCAAATCAAAACTAAGATAAAATTTACTGTTTTATAAAATAAAAAACAAATATAAGTTTGAAAAGGCTATAGAAAGATGAAAATCATTAATTAAAATTTTCAACAAAAAGGTATCACAATGAAATCTTTCCAAAATTTCAAAGCTGTGAATTCATGCAAGTATCAGATATAAAAGTAAGATATTTTATATGCAGAAGCTACATAATCTGTTCAAACTGTTTTTTTTTTTCTGGTATTTATATTTTCGTAATGCTAGTTAATAAACCATAAAACAGGTGCATTGGATTGACACACTCTGTTCTTAAAGAGTAAATTAATTTATTAACATTTTCTATAAATATATTTAGCTCTTTCTGGTATTTTTACATGGGTGTTTGTTTCTTAAAGCATAAATTGTCTGAAAATTGAGTAGGTGCAATTCAATGTAATGAGCAAATTGAGAAAACATTTAGATGGGAAATATTGCACATTGGACTTCTCATAGCCAATTGTATCATATCAAAATAGAGTTTAGATCCATTATGATTTAACAACAAGTTTATATGGATACAAGTTTGACATTTTCATGTTTCCTCATCAGCAAGTTTTTGTTTAGTGGATGTAAATTTAGTTTAGATTACTTTACATGTCATTGTGTTTTTACCTACTATACCAACATTAAGCTTGAAACCCATTTTTCAAGAGCAGGGAAAATTGGTAACATATTCTGACTATATTACAGTGTCGTTATTTTTGTAATAGATTTACTAACAGGAAATCTTAATTTGAAAAGTAAAAACCACTGTAATCACAAAAAAACACATTTATTTTCAGGTCATTTTATTAGAAAAACATCATGAGAGATGTGTTTATTACATTCAATACATTTAGTACATATAGCTTAAAATATTGTTATTAACAATTAAGTTTGAAAAAATAACTAAACCCAGCTTAAACTAACATAAAAACACAAAGTAACTATAGAAATTAAGGTGTGACTAAACTTTATAAAATAAATAATATTAAGTCAAGCTTAAAGCAAGTTTGAATGACTGCATTGAAAAGACTAAACATTAATATTTAAAAAATCTAAGGAAAGTATGAACAATATCAAAATCAAATATATTAAACTAACAAACATAAGCAAAGTGTTCATGCATGCATTATAAATGTGACTTTATCAAGTGTTCATTTTATATGTAACTTAGACATCATAATTCATGCAACAGGTGAGTAACATGGCAATACTTCCATTTTAGGGTTTTGCATTGTACTAGGCTGGTACTAACAAACTACTATTATGTAAATTGAACCATGTTAGAATGCATATAAATTTTCATTTAATAATGATATAATTATCTGTTATTGTTTGTGGGTTTTTTCCTTTCTTAAACATGTTACATAATGCCTTAAAAGTTAAATGTTGTAATATTTCTGATATGTTGCATATTGTTGACATGTTTTGAAATGGATATTAAATTTATAATGCCTATTCTTTAATTATTGTTAAGTGTGTGTGTGTGTGTGTATATGAAACATAGCTAATATATTATTTTGCTCCATACAACTGTAGAATACATCAGTTGAAAGTCTCCAGCGCTGTTTAGCCATCCTTGAATATACAGAAGTATTCCTAGAAATAGCATCCTCCAGGCTAGGAGGACCATCTATTCGTTGGATAGTCATCACTGTTATTCAGCTTATCAAGTAAATTTAATTACAGATGTTTTTATTTTAATGATGTAAAAGTTGAGTACACCATAAATTTTCTAAGGCCTGCACTATTGATATCACGACAGAATCACTTCAGCACATTCTCACAAGTTTGATAACATCCCAACAAATTTTGTAACAAAAGACAGTTTGTGAGTCTTAAAATGATTTTAAAAAAACATACCAAGGGTGGGACTTAGAATTACGACTTTTGCATCACTCTTTTACTTACTGTTTACTGAGGCAGCATCTTGTATGTATACACAAATATAAGTATATACAGTAAAGTTTTATTACTGGTTGCATGTAAGAAATGGATGGTGAGAGTAAACTATTTTCAGTTGCTAAAACTAATTTTATAAATTCAGTTCACAGAATTTCATTCTAAAAAATTGTTTCAAAAAATAATAATTACCAGTTGTTTTATTTATTTGGTTCTTTTAGTTGTTTTTTTTCCAATCATAATTAGATGTAGAAAAGCTCTGAGAGAAACTTGTTTGGAAGTCTCAGCCAAGTTTAACGATGTTTACACCAGTTTTCCATGCTTCTCTGCTCCCAGTTAATATTGTTTTATGCTTATATAAAGTTTTTTCTACTTTAAATTTAATGTAAAAGACCTTTAAGAAAAAAAAAGGTAGTTTTTTGATGTTTTTAACTAATAAATAGTACTTACACTTGTTTGGGTCTGATGACAAATTTAGTTAGGAAAAATTTGAAAATGTTTTGTTAGTGAACACTTACTGAGAATTAAGAATTGAAACTATTTCAAAAAAAAAGTAAAACTTATTTGTTTGATTAAGTGTTAAATGTTAAAACTTATAATTGAACGTAACTTTAAAGTCTTTATTTGCCCTTAAGTAATTCTAAAACTGTATAGTTACTAGATTATGGTACTTTGTATTGGCTGTCATTATACATTCATGATTTTAGAGACCCAAAGACCATAAATGTGATTTCCAAAGTTATTCACTTTATTACTACATTTCCATATTTGCTTGCTGTTTATAAGTTATATGTGTATATTATACCATATATACTCTGTACAGAAGTACAGCAGGTTAATACAGTAGTAAATTGGCAAAAAAAGATTTATAAGCATAATGAAAAATATTTATGTAGAGAACATGCTTCATGTTGAAACATGTAGCGTGTTCTCTACATACAACATTTTTCATTATGCTTATAAATTATTTGTCAATTTACTATTATATGTAAAATAAAAATTAATTATTGACTGAAAAAGTACATGCTTTATAATTTTTTTATCCATTAAACTATCTGATAAAAAGAACATGAATATGTTGTGAACTCCAAATTGTACAAAAACTTTGTTGAGTTGATTAAATCTAACTGTATGTTTCAGAAAACAATAATGACTGTGTGTGTGTGTGTGTTTAGAACCGCTTTGCATTTAGTGCTGCTGTTGAGGTTTGATCAGGGAATACAAAAATGTCCAGCAGTTTCTCCTCTCAACCGTCGTCGAGACTTATCCCAGTTACAGAACAGGAACAAAAAAGAAAATGGCCATAATTCAAATGAGAAAACCAATTGTACTCCTATGGAGGTTACATTCTCTTTAAAAAGATCAGGCAGGACAATTCGTACACTTGCTGCAGGTGAGAGTAAAGTATAAATGTTTCTTTCAAGAAAATATAGTCCATAAAACATGTATTTGTCATTAATAAAGATTGTTTTCTCAGTTTGTTTACTAATTCGTAGCTTCTTCATTGGTATACAAATACTTAAAGAATTAGATGCTATAAAACTTCACTGGTATTAATTCTAAAATGCCCCAGTGCTTTGATCAGATGAACATGTTTTATTGAATTGTAGAAAAAACACTGCTAGATGAAATCACTTGAAACTTTCAATAGAATATATATAGCTTATGCAGAAAAATATATCTGTATATATGATATTTGTATGAATTTGCAGTTTAAACATTTGAAATATTTCACTGTGATATGTTTTTTATAAACATTGAAAAATGCTTGCTTTTGTAGTATATTTCAATCACTGATTTTTATGCCTTCGTAATTTTTCCCAAATTTTCTTATAAAGGTTTAATTTGGTAAAACTGTAAATGTTATCTTTATCTTGATTCAAAAAACAACACAGTTTCACAGTGTTTATAATCACTAGTGTACAAATCAGGTGGTTTCATTTAATATATATATGTATAATAAATATTAAGCCCCTTTTTTATTCATTTATATATAATATTTTACATTTCTTTTTGGTGATTTTTCTTTGCCCGTTCCAGGAGTTACTTGGCCTATAAGGCCTAATATAAACACAGCCTAACATACAATTTCCTTGTTGGCAAAATGGAACTTGACACGTTCATATTCTAAAAGATTTAACTAAGCCTATCTATTCTTGTTCCACAGAAAAAATTCAAACTTTTTAATTAAAATGATGTATAAAATAATAAAGGAGGATTTTTCAAACTTTAAAAAAAAGTGAGGGCTGTAATAGTAACTGAAGCTGTTCACAAATAACATATCACTAAACTATGCATTTATCACCGTATTCCAATCTCTATGGCTGAAATAAAAGCCATATTGGCTCATAAAGTTGAAAAGAACTGAAAATGAGCTTTCATAAGAGGTTTAGCTTATGACTTCCAAAAACTGAGATACAGACAAATCACACAATGGCAGTTGAAGTTGAGAAAGGGTGATTGATTAAAGTCAATAAAACTAAAATTCTATTGAAGTTACAAGGTTCAAATTTGCACTATTTTATTCAAAAGGATTTTGACTTCTAGGGAGTATGAGTGTCTTATTTTGCTAAGAAAAAATTTGGGGAAATTCACTAAAACTAATGTTTTCATTTGGAGTATGCTGAAATCAAATTAAAATCTGAGATGTTTAAAAAAATTTTATCTATAAAACTAAATAAATAAAACTTTTTCTTATTGAATAAATTTTATCTATTAAGTATTTTGTTTGCTTTTGAAGCATCCTTGAATGGCATCAATTCCCACACTATGTTTGAGCACATAGGTATTATGTCAAATTTGAAAGGTTAAAAATTTGCTTATGTTATATGGTTAATTCTGTTTTTGCATTACATTATCACATTGTTTGTTTTTTAATAGTCTGTAAATAATGTTGGGGATAGTTGTTGTTTTTTTTTAACAAAATTGTTTGCTTTGTTGATCATTTAACTCAACTGTAAAACTCTACTAAAGTAAATCTATTTGATGTGTGTTTCCCAATGTTTTGAGCACCTGCACCAAGCTGTGATCAATATATTTCTATTTTGTTTGTCTCTGCTGCATGAAACATTTTGAAAATATACTTGCCATGAAAAGAAGCCGGTATGATATCCAAATAGACTTTTCAGCCTACAGTCGTTTGACAGCTGGAGAACACCTATAACTGTAACTTTCTTCTCAATTGCTTAATCATTTCAAAATCTTTAACTTTTTTTCTGTATTCATGAGTATCAAGAATGCTTTATTTTCTTCATGAATTATTAATCTTACTTTGCTCTAGAGAAACAAAAGAAATAAATTAGGATGTTGTGCTACAGAATAATGAATTTCTTACATTCCATAAAATTTTGACATGTTAACTTGACCATTACCATTGTAACCAGTTCTCACATTCTCAGATATATATATATATATAGTATGATTGATCTGAGTTTTGCAGCTAAAGAGAAAACAGATAATTAGCTGGCCTTGGAAACACTTGAAGATAATTAATTGGCCCTGGAAACACTTAAAATATAATTAGTTGGCCTTGGAAAGATTCACATTTGGAAGTTGTTTACTTTTGTCTGGTTAAGCTTTGACTTGTTCTGAATGACGAAATATTACAAGTTTTTGGGATGTTTTTTTTTCAGAATTTTGTTTTTAATGGTTTAATTTGCTTGTGATATATAGCAACTAATTCAGGATCTCTTCAATAGTATTATCTGTTTTTTTTAGTTTGTTAAAATGATATGATTTTTTATTATTTCAAGCACCTGTATATTGATAGTAGGTATAGCTTACTCTGTTGTTAGCCTACAGGAAAATGATTTCATATGCTTCTGAATATGTGTGCTTATGTTTAATCGTTTTTAGGTGGAAATGAATCAAAGATCCTTATCTAAAAAAACATTTATAGATATTCTGTTCAACTTCTTTGTTCTTAAGAACTTAAAGATATTACCTGCTTTCTGTATTTTGTAAATCTGTTTAATATTTTATAATTATGTTTATGCATGGTACAATTTCAGCTCCTCCTTTAAGTAAAAGAACATGGAAACTTCCGGAATCTGAAAAACAACCAAAAAATACACCTAAGATACACTTCCCTCCAACATCTTTAGAAGGTCAACAGTTTGCAGCTGAACTCCTGCATCTAATGCGACCTATGACCCACTGTATCCTCTTGGTTATTAGATGTACAACAGAGTGAAAAAAAGGGGGGGAAGGATATATATTATTGAATGACTATTCTAAGAATATCTGTTTTTATTTCTTTTAGTAACTCAAATAGCTTCAAACTGATATATAGTAAGTAATCCTTTCTTGTTCTCAAAAGTATGTATTTTTTTAGTAAAGTGTTGTGATTTATTAATGTTTTAGACAGTACTTGCTATGAAATTATATGTTTATAATAGTTTCTACATTATTTTATTGTGTTTATAAGGTAATTGGTTAACAGTTTAATAATATATTACTTGTAATTTAAGAATTTACCACCAAACTTTGTGGCACTTAACCACCCTTTCGTTAACAGTTTAGAGTTCATTGGGCAAGTACAAGTGTAAGTGCATGAGGAAAGTGGCTGATATGTAAAATGAGTAAAAAGTAAGTTGGGGGGGGGGTAAATTATTGGTCTACATTATATTGAGCTTAGAACAAATGCTGTGGTACGATTTTCGTTAATGCAGAAAGTTTGTTAGTGATATCAGATGAAATATTTATAGGATGCCAGGCTTTTAGAAAAAAAATCCTAGGATTATTTACAAAATTATTGAAAATTACATTAATCAAATTTGAACATTTTTCATCATGGGTACTTTTTCATGAAGAACATAAGCAGTTACTAAGTGTAAATCATATTTTGTTGCACTCTTTAATGAAACCATTAAAACAAAACTTAACTAAGTTGTTTAGTATTTAAAAATTAAAAACAAAACAAAGTTAGGAGATTAAACATATGTACTTCTATTATGTTATTGCCCAAATTGGTCACAGTTTCATTAAAATTGTATAAGAATTAATTTTTTTTAAAGAACAGTTTGAAATTCGTTGTTGCTTTTCCAAGAAAACAGATACTGGTAAATTTTAAATCTTTAACTGCCTCCATGTAACCTTTTCCCAAAAAAAAAAAACTTTGCTTTCCTGTAGTAATTAACTCTACCGAAATAATAACATAAACTGGAAGCAGTGGTTGCCCAATAAATTTAGTCTTGTCATTGTAAGTTTTACCTTTTTGAGACTATAGCACTATTAGCTCAGTTGATAGAACATTAACATCAGCCAAGGATCCCAGGTTCCATCCTCTCCTCAGGGCAGAATTTTTAACATTAAAGTTTGTTATACTGACACTAAACTAGTTGTCACCCCACCTCTGAGGGATAACTATGTACAAGCTTGGTTTAACATGATCTGTGTTTTGGGCCTGAGAGGTCCAGGTTGTTGTATATACTTCTTGGTAAAACTGAGATTGTCCTAGTTTTTTTTATATCAACCAGAAACAGTAAAAGTATTAAACTGTCCCAGTTTCTCTACACCTCAGTGTGAATTGGTATGTATGGTTTTTCATTATACATTTTACTTGAAGAATCACCTGACAAAGACAGATAACTTTTCTTTTGTTCCCTCCCTCTATGCTGTGTTTTTCCTAATTTGTCATTGGGCCACCACTGGAATTGAGATTTGAAGACCTGCCCAGCTACAAAAAAGAAAACAAAGAAGCAACATTTTTCTTTTAAGTAGGTTCAAGATAACTTGCATGCTTGTTTATTATTTTTTTAACTAGATAAACATTTATTAAATGTTATCTTTGGTTTTAAAATGCCATGCAATAAACATAACAAATGACAACTAGTGTTATTATAACTTAAACTGCTATAGCGTTGGGAGAATTCCCAGTTTTCTACTCTGGAAGTTTGGTAACCCTATGCTTTATGACAAGTTTTGATTAGAGTAAAAAATATTAATTATCAGAATAAGAGTTATCTACTTGAGACGGATTCATGGCAATTTGGCAAAGTATCCATCTCAAAGCACTAGTACATCATGAGGGTACAGGTTAGGGTATATTTTGTTGGCATCCTGGTTTGTTATTACTATAACTAATATCAAAATTTCATTATATAACAATTAAAAAAAATTGAGCTATATGAAAACAAGGGTGGTAAAATATCTATCTTAGAAGGTAATATATAATTGAATATGGATCAAACCCTAACAATTTACAGTAGCCACAATGGGATTATATGGCACAGATTCTTGGAAACCCTGGATTGTAGCCTTAGGAATGGATGTATCAAGGTAAGATTAAAACAGTCATCATGTTATATACTTTTCTTTTGTCCAAACTTAGTCCCTTTATTAAACAATTTATTCTTTCTAAACGTTAGTTTGGGCAGTGAACTTTTTTTACAATAAATTGTTAAAATGAATGCAATTAGTTATCAGTTAAATACTTTTTAAAACACAAATGAAATTATGATATATTTTTAAAGTTTCTCTGGTGCATTTTATTTGCTTTTCACATATTATGATCATCTCATTGTGTAAAATACATTTATTACAAGGTCTTAATGTAGTAGTTCAGTTATGGAAGATGAGACTAGAGCTATTAAGGTACATTCAAATGTACAAATATGTTTGTTTGCATTTCATGTTGTGACATCAGTCTTTACAACAAAGTGGATAGCAGGCTTACAGTTACTGTCTAGCAGAAGTCAACAAATATAACTGATTTATTTGTTATTCATTAACCATCTTTTGAAATGTATTTTTATTTCTAGCTTACATCTACTTAGAGAAAATGAGCAGTTGAACCATGCCGAACAGTTAGAATTAACACGTCGGGCATTGATGTTAGTTATGTTTCTGCTTCGCTCTCCTTTCTATGATCGCTTCAGTAGGTAAGATTAAACTTTTCTATGATTTCCATAAAACAAATTTACAGGTTAGGATAGTAAAAGACAGATTTTTTTTACTCATGCTCTTTTTTCGTGTATTTCAGAGAGAAGATCTTGCAAATTTTATCAAGCATAGCAAGGAACATTCCAGTTATGAAACTTTTTATGTGTAAGTAATTGTAATTATTTTGATTTTTCATGTACTAAAAAAAATCCTTCTATGCATCTGCTTAGCTTCATTAGCTAGCACCCTGTTAATTTAATTGGGTTGTTGAGAACTGATGCAGTTATCACCCAATAATAATAATATGGGCTTATTACATAACAGTGACTTAAGTTTATTGTGGTGAGAATAACTTTTTATAAATGTTTTGGTTCTAGTCACGCTTAAAATTAATTTATAAGTAAAATCATATTTGTTCAGATTTTCATCAAATATATTTGATAAAAAAATTCAAGCAAGTTATCCGTTTCACTTATGGATGTTAACAGTGGGGTTAAATGAAATCAAGTATTTTTTCTACTAAATTTGCCATTAAGTAAGTAAAATATACTTTCTGGTACTAATGAGCTACATCTAAACATTTTGTTAATGTCAATAATGGAGTGGGCATAGTTTTCATATCTATATCAAAAAACAGTCCTTCCCAGGTTTTACCTGAACATGGTAGCAAAATGTGAGTGCAATGTTTTAGATTCCCTGAAGCTAGGATAAATATTAAAATGTAGTAATTTTTTTTAACTTTTCAACAGATCCTCTGATGGAATACTTACCAGAGTGGCAAAAAAGCTACTTCCACACTTGGGTATTGTAAGGCCACAAATGTTCTCCTATAATATTATCAAGATTTCTAACAATTGCTGTTTTCTGCTCTAATTGAAGTTCATCATTGGTTTACTAGCTAAATATGGGGAGTTGCCAGTTTACTATATTCATCCATTAGTAGCCCTCTGTAACAAACTTTTTAACATTATATTTTCCAAATAAGGAACATTAATAAGAATAGTTCCTTTTTCTGTGTTTAAAGCTTTACAAATTTAATCAAGTGTTGTTGTTATGAGATACATAGAATATTACCACTGTGAGCTTATTCGAGTAGGATCTTTGAACAAAGTATATGACACTGCAACTTTAAGCAATAACAAATGATTCAGTTCTGTAATAAGGTGTATTTATAGATTGAGTTATTGAATTTTATGTTACCTTCAATGTAGTTTTAAAGCTGAACTTTTTAAGCATATATTCAATAGAGAATCTATCGTATGGATATATTTTTAACAAAAAAATCCTCTTGAAATTAAGTATTGTTTTCCACAATGTCCATGCTATTTACCTTGTGTTTACAACAAATTGAAAAATTAAGCAGTTAGGTTAAATTCATATGTTTATTTATGACTTGAAAAAAATAAACATATATGCAACTAGCATTACTTATTCATATGTCATACTAAGACATTCCTGTAAAGTTAAGTGAGCAGTGCAGAGTACTGTATGGATTATCTTATGAAGTTGTAAAATAAAGGTCATTTTAATAATCTTCATTGATTAATGTTAAAATCAGAGTACATAAACTCACGCTAATAATGCCTAAAATACATATTCTTAACTGTTCGCAACAATATTATCAAGATATTTTTACTTCCCAGGAAGTAAGAATAGATATTTCACACACTTGAATGTGTAGCTTGGGACAGATACAACTTCTTAGAATGTTGTGCAACTGAATGAAAGTAAAGATTGTTAAAGTATATAACCTATATATTCTATAAATTTTGGGTTGTATAAGATGCACACTTTTTCTTAATGATGGAAAAGCAGCACATATATTCAGACTTGTGTATTTTATTTTTCAATGAAAATGACAAGACTTGCATATTAACAACCAGAAGACTCCCTTAAAAACTAAGCATAAAAAACATTTAATTATAAGATTACACTTAATACAAAGATAATAAAATTTATTTCCAGAATCACTAGACACAAACTTTACTAACAGAACCATATTTGATAATCTATTCTAATTATAACGTTTATAATTTGCAGGCTTTATGATTTGAAATTTTGTTAGCATTAACTATTTCCACACCGAATTGTTAATACATGAAACTCACTTAATGGGGAAAGAATGCTTTACGAGCTTTAAGCTCAAAGAAATTTTCAAAAACAGTCTTGTACTCGTGTAATGAGTCATGAAACATGTATTCACAGAAAGGAAAATTAAACAATGATATGTAATTACAACCATCACATGCATTTTCATTCTACAAAATAAAACTGACCATGGAACATTTTGGCTGCATATTACATAAGCACTCTTCTCAAGTGACGTCAAAAATTAATTATAAATAAACAACATGGAATATAAGTGTTGCAAAGAACAAACAACAATTATCATTAGTGAAAATATGCTTCTACATTGATGTTAAAAACAGTGTGGCTTTTCTTATGAAAGTGCTTAATGTAAGTTTACTATGCCCCAAAAAATAAAACATTTGGAAAATTTCAATCTATTTATGACCATTTGTCCTGTAAAAAAATAAAGAAATATTCTTAAGAAGCAACAAAATGAAAAAAGTCCAATTAAATCACCTGCATTCAAAACTAATCAAAACGAAAAGATACAGTGACATTTTTTTACTGAGAAGATCCCCACTTCTCATTTTGTTCACTTCCTGCGTCACCATCATTTTGATCTTCCTCGTTATGGGCCTTCGGACTTTCAAATGGAGATTTACTTGCACTGTGGCTTCTACTTCTAGAGCGGCTCTTGTCCTTACTGTTCCGCTTCTTTTCATCAGTAGCATCCTTCATGTTATATTTAATAACAATTATAAATAATTGATAAATAAGTTGCAAATTAAAATATTTTTTCATTACTTAAAACATAATTACCCCTTTTTCTTCATGATCATTTTCTGCACTTGGGCTTTTGCTCTTATGTTTTTCACTTTCATGAGAACGTGAACGACTCTTGCTAGCCGAATGACTTCTGCTCCTATCTTTATCTCTGTTGCTTTCTACTTTATCATCACCACCCTCCCTATGAGAGTAAAGCAAGAATGAATTTCTTAACCTTGATCCTTCTTCCTACCAGAAACACTGCACTACTAACAGATATTAAAAGTGCTACCCTTTATTGAAAAAAAAAATGTTTCTTAAGAACATTGTTTAGTACTACATTTTAAAATTACATTAATAAAGATACAATCAAACCTCATGTACAGTCTTAGTGAAAGTCTTCTATATAACTGCATTACCTTTTATGCTTATTTTCTATTATACAAGTTCTAAAAATTTAACTCTGAAGAATCCAGACTACAGTAAAACTTTACCTTGAACGAGACCTTGACCTAGAGCCAGAAGAAGACCTACTCCTTGTCCTACTACGGTTTGGTTTACTGCGTTCATGACTTCGGCTGCGAGATCTACTTTTCTTGTGGCGAGGTCGATGATCCTTACTCTTTGAGCGGCTTCTACTGTAACTTCTTCGTCTGAATGATCAAACATAAGTGAACAAAGACTCACAAAAATAATCGTTATTTATTATGTGAAACTTGCTATTCAGTACTCTCTTATTGTTGTAAATAGTTTCCAGCACTTTTGAACCATTATCACTAGATAAAATAAAATCTTAATATGAAATATTCAATCAAATACAACTATTTTACTACTACATAATTTAGTTAATATGCATCAGATGGCCCCTGTGCATTAATTTTCATAAATAAATCAAGATAATTGCCTTCCTTAGCAGCTAAGGCAAGACAGGTTTATGCACTGGTCTCATCACTTGCAATTTTAAATACCTTATTTTGGTAAAATCAAAATACCAAGGGAAGATCTGCAAAATCCACACCTAAAACTGTTTTCTGCTACTTGTCAATAAATTCAAAACTACAGCCACATTACTGGTTTCAAACAATGATCAGGGCTTACTATTACTATACTAGTATGAACTAGCTGAAACTGACCTAGAGCATTGTCTAAAAATAATAGTAAACTAGATAACTATTTAAAAGTATGAGTTCATTATTTTTAAAACATTAACCTTCATCCACATGGGAAGATGCACTTTCAAAAGTGCCAAGACTATCAAGTTTCTTTAAACATTATTTATCTCTAACTACAAATCAGGACACGTCTGAAGTGAAACCACTAACACTCTTAAAATAAATAAGAAATGGAATAATTTATGCCAGAAACTTGACATACTTATGGCACTAATTTCTTTAAAACCATTATAACTAGTCTTATTGTCAGGATTATTAAAGATTACGAATGCCATGGAATAAAGCTGGTCAGACCCCCTCTTTCGTGCAATTTGTTTAAATCTAGAAAACCTGGGTAAGCATTTTTTAGGATCTGAATCATCTCACACCCTCACTGTTAGTAATATTTATGGCTGTAGTCCCAATATCTCATGAGGTTCAGCAAACTGTGGATATGTAGTATATAATAAATAAACAACGCACAAGAAAATAAGATATATTTAATATTCTAACCAATATTATTAATGAAACCAGTAATTAAGAAATTAAACAGCATACCTTACTTATAAATAAATACACAATAGTGGCCTGTTTCATACTCTACTGTAGAATTTAATAATACGACATCTGTAAATACTAAACTTTACACACTCCTATCGTGACCAATAAAAACAGAAAACAAACCAAAATGGTCAATATGAAAATTAATCAGAAAAATTAATGCACTTTTGACAATCATAATATATAGGGAACAGTTATACAGCTTGCATCAACTATATCAAAAGCCTAAGTTAATGTTGATCGCTACACTACATTAAACATTTTATTTATTTTTTTAAAGAAATTACACATGGAAGTTTTGAAAGCAGAAGATTGCAAACGTTTCTTCAAAATTGAATGAGCTTCGTATTTAAAGTGTGCTAGGAGAATCCTCATGTCAGTACATCCAAGAGTTAAAGTGTGAAGTTCATAAAACCTCTTTATGTTTAACCCTTTCGAGACAGGTCACGGGTGAAAGGCCATGTCATCTCATTTGTTGACTCGCATTCATAATTTTATTGAACTACTATTTCATGAATTTATGTCAATAACTTTGGTATCAAACTGTAGATTATAATTCAAATTTTAGTACTATAAAATTTAATTTAAATTTCTTAATTTAAAAGCAAATATTAAAAAAAACACAGATAAACATTGATTTTTGTGTGTCACATAGTATGTTGAATGCACCACTAATTCAAATTAGTTGTTTGCGAAGTCAAAATACTAAGTATATAGTTCTGAACAAATTAGAAACTCAAATTACTGATACTGACAAGCTAGAATATAAAATAAAAGCCTCATTTCAATTTGTTAAGATATTGCTGTGTAATAAATCAAACACAGTAGCACCCTGCCCACCTCTTTCCATTTTTGGAAATGCTCCCTTATATACATTTACTTCTATATATGTGACATGAATAACCAATCTGAAGCTCAGAATGTCCCCCTAGTGGCTTTCTCATCCATTTTAACAGACTTGGTGCCATTTCTTTCTTTGAGCCAATATTTCAACGAGGTAGGGTGTGCTCAAATTTCATATTAGTTACTAAGCTTGCTAAATTATAGTAGAAGTCTATGGTATTAATGTAGTAATTTATGATTTCTTAGTTATTTTAATGTAATTATAAAACCTAAAAAAATTATTTCCTATCCTCCACATGCAAATTTTTTAAGGGCTTAGCAACCTACGTCAAGCATCAACCGAGTACAAAAGCCATAACTAGAAGAGATAAGTGTTTGCTTTACTTCTTTAGTTACTGTTCTATGTTTTAAGAAAAATACATTTAAGAACTTATTTCAAAATAGCAATAACCTATATACATCTGTAATGTATAATAATTGAAATGCGACTGTATTTTACAAGATACTAGTCTACTAAAACACAACCAAGACAAGTTACTTTGTACAGACCAAAGGTCAGTTTTATGTTATTTGATACGGTAACATAAGTGCACGTGAGCCACTTCATTGTAACTTCTGTATCGTTAGCCAGGCACGGCTGAAAGGTCAATATCATAAATGTATAATTTTACGAGATTTAAACTATTTCTTCTAAACATTTATGTTTTCGTGCTATAATTTGTATTCATTCTAGAATGAAAGAGGCATAATTTATATTTATTTCCTAATTTTTTTATGGTGGTTGCAAGATTGGTCAAATCTACCAAACTCGTACAGAGATTAATTACTGAAAATAACAGATAAAAAAACCTACTTTGACTTAGTCTATTACACAATTTTTAATAACAGAAAAATTTAATACTTTTAAATCCCATCAAGTTTGATTAAAGCACGCAGATTTTAAAATTTAACTGGAGAGTTTTCATTCATTTTTTTTTTTGTAAGAAAAAATCAGAGTGACCTAAAAGTCATAACAAGACTGACCACAATCAAAATTCTTACTATTAAAACAACCATCTCTTGTGCAAAACTTAAAATATTGTACTTCTGAAGTGTCTCTTCCAGTCAAACTGAATCATTTGTTTTACAACTTTTTTGTATATTAACATAAATTCCCAAAAGTTAAGGAAATAGCCGAGGTCTGCTTCTTCAACGGTTACTCATATTAGTTGACTGTTAAATATGGCTTTAGTATTGTAAAATATTGTAGCAAGCAAAGGACACAAAATAAGTCAGTCACAGATTTAAAAAAAACAATTTGTTCGTGACCAACTATTTTTTATAAAAGCTCAATCATATTGACTTGTAAAATATGGCCAATTGACAAACTTTTTTAAATAATTTATTAAAACTTTATAATGTTTATAAGACAAGATTAGATAAAATGTATAACAAAACTACTTTTCAAGATGAAAGAAATTAATATAAATGATTATTAACTACTCTGTTACAATAGCCTGATATTATGTAACACTTAAGATTGTTTTAAAGTTAGTCAGCAGGTGAACAGTGAACAACTCAAAGTTGTTGAAATAGCCAAACTGCCTGGTGAACAAGTATATAGATATCTCAATCAACTAGCTAACACCTAAAAAATATATACTTTTCTGAGACACATGCTAAATTAACTATACACCAACACACTTGACACCTGTTTAACAACATGAAGAAACTTGTGTAATAAAATTACATATTAAAACTAAATATGGAATTTGGTGTTTAAGCATTTTCTTTGTTTTCCAGGTTTAAGGTCTAAGAATGTATTTAATAGTTTCTGTCTCATTGTGTATTCAAGGATATGTTATTCATGTGAAACGAAATATATACCAAGATTAAAAATTACTGCAAAATCATTTATTATTGTGATGATCTTTTATTTTGTTACTTAAAATTCACAATCTACTAAAGTGAGCTGGTTCATTGTTGTTGTACAAACAACTTATAACATAAGGATATAACAAACAAATTTGTATCTTGAGAATTTGTATGCATTTAGCATCAGATCTCAAGCATGTCAAGGATGTTCATATTTTAATGCCAACACACATTTTTCAACATTATTACATTTACAAAAGAAATTTACACTTCTAATATACAGAATTCAATTATTTTTTATTTTGCTTTTATCTTGTTAAATTTCTTTAAATATGCAGCGTATGAAGATAATGCTTGGAGTTCATTTCCGTCCTAAAATAAACTAAATGGAACAACAGTAAACAAATATCCTCTTTATATATTAAAAGGTGTGTTAGATTATTGTTTGCACTGATATCATGGTGTGCTAGTAATTGTTTATTATGTCATAAAATGTGTTAGTTAATAACATGTAATGTAGCCAACTATGTTAGAAAATTATTTGCATTATTACCAAGGTAATAGGTGTGCACTATGAATGTCTGGCCGACAGCATTTGACCATATGGTATACATTACAATGGTCAAATTCATTTACAGATTACAACACCAATACAAGTAACAGGTTACATACCAATATATATACCTAAACATAGCTTCAAGTTTATTATTAAATGCCAGGCTTGAATAGTCTTTAATAAAAAGTAAAAGTTATGTATATATATATTTAAGAATCTTACAAAAAATATTATAGCCCATGTAAGGCTCATTCTGGCCCACCTAGTTCATAATATAATTCTTAACAAAACACAGTAAGGACAGGGACACAAATCCTATTAAACAACAACCAGAATAAAACCCTGGGATTCAGCACACGTACAAATATTATTCAAGTAAAAAAAAGGCACTGAAAATTTTAACTTTGCATGATAAGTTCCAAATTTTGATATTAAGAAAGCACAGTGAAATCATTAAGTGACTTAATCAACACTTAATTCGAGCTAATATGAAGCTTAAACTTATCTATGAGTTACCAACATTTTTAAACTGTAAACTCATAAATAGCTATGTTCTCCTCACACAGCAATTAAATGTTGCAAATAGGATTACCTAGTAACTACCAATAACAGTCTAGTTAATATAATAAACCAAAAAGAAAAATTTTGCTTACAACATTACTTTGATATAATTCTGAGCCCATATATC